ATTTTAGTTGACTCTCCAAATTCCATTTGTCTCATGTAATTGAGACAAAGAAAAACATATATTGGTTTAAAATTAATAAAAATATTATAAATTATAATAATTAACAACTTAAAATTTATAAAAAAAATCCTTTAAAAAAATTTAGTTGGCTCTCCAAATTCAATCGGTATTACAATAATTAAAACATAGAAAGTTACATAGATTGGACTCCTGCTAACATTTATGTTTCCTTTTTAAAAATATTTTCTTTTATACTTTATATAAATAATTTTTTTATGTAAAAAGTATTATAAATTATAATAATTAATAGCTTAAAATATTTGAAAACATATAAAAAGTTTTTGTTAACTTTCAAAATTTCATCTATACTACATAAATTGGGAGAAATATAGATATATAGATATTTTAAGTTGCTAATGATTGTGAGTTATAGTACGTTTTATGTCATTTTCATATATATTACTCGCTTTGTCCTGATTTATGTGATACAAATGAAATTTCAAAAGTCAATGAATTTTTTATAAGTTTTTTTTAAAATTAACTTGTTATTTATTGTGATTTATAATATATTTACGTAAAACATACTCTAAATAAAAATAATTAGCAACTTAAAATATATAAAAACATACTAAAAAATTGATTAGCTTCAAAGTTCATATGTACCACATAAATTAAAACAGAAACAGTAACATATATTGGGCCCCGTGCTGGCACGGGGTCCCATATCTAGTTATGCATATATGTGTATTAATATACTATATACTATAATTTATGTTAAGCATATATATATACACTGATATACTACATATTTATTCTTTACTCACTTATAGTTTATGGTTTTATTTTTTTTGCTTATTGCTAATATTTATGTAACTTTCCCTCTTATTTCTATCTAATAATGTAAAAAAATCATTTATAAAAGAGACCAATTTAAGTTATTTTCATTGAAAATACTGTACAGATGTCTACCAATACTCCTTCAAATGATGCCAAATTAGTGCATATTGTCACCACCTACACCCCTTTAGCACCCCACCAAACCAAATGATAAAACCCCATGAGGAATAATAATTCAATCACTCATGAATCCAAACATATCCTAATTATGATCTCAATAAAAAATTGCTATAATAAAAAATAAGCAGTAACATTTCTACATACATAAAATAGTACAATATATATATATATATATATATATATATATATATATATATATATATATATATATATATATATATATATATATATAACTCACTCTTTAAGGGAGTTAAATAGGCGACAAAATAGCTAGAATTAAATTTTACTCGACTAAATAATGAGTCATTAACCTAACCCACCGAACACATCTCAAACATTAACCCAACTCGTCAACTTCTATTAAACTTTAATTTTTTTTTAATAATTTATTTAATTACCTAATAATATGTAATTTTTAATTTATCACGGTTTCATATAACATATTAAACAAAAGAAGTATTTTATAATATATATATATATATATATATATATTTATAAGATACGTGGATATTTGGACAACGTATCCTCCAAACTTTTAGATATGAATTAACTAACAAAATTAACCGTCTCAAACTTAAACAGGTTGGACTAATCAATTTTTCATACGCTAATTAACTTTATACTATATATTCTCTCTCTCCGCACCTTATTATATTTCTCTTCCACACAAACCTCAACATAAACAAAACCTAATCCTCTTTGTCTCCGCACAGTCGCCGGAAAATCAAGAATCATGGCCTCTGCCTGCATATCAAGTTGCGTTAACGACGTTGTGACTGTGAGATCAGTACCGGTAAGAGCTACATACATAAACCTGTATAAATGGCCGGAATCCGACGTGGAATTTATAAAGTCCGTCAGTTCAAGAATGAACAGTAATAATAATAATAATATTTATGCAAAACCAAAAGTGGTGGATAGTATTTCATGCAGGCAATTATACTTAAGAAGCTACACTTTTTCAAGAGAAGAAGAGCGCGTGAACGACACGGCATCAATGAGATGTTATGGAAGAAAGAAAAAAAGTCGTAAGTCAAGTGGTGGTGGCCGGAGAAGAAAATGTAATAAAGGGATTAGAAGGGCTAAAGATATATCGTGCGCTGCTTTGTCCTCCATTTTCCGGCGACTATTATCGTGCACCGTTAAGGTTGATGTGGTTGGCTAATTATATTACTATAATTAGTAAGTAGTAAATTACCAGCAGGATTTTTCCTTTCATCCATCTTCTATGTTCTACTACTTGTTTTTGTCTTCTTTTTTAGTATCAACTAGCTTGGATCTTATTTTGCATATATAGGGAACTGAATATTGTGGTAATGTATTATTTATGTAATACAAGAATATAATGTCATTTTTGTGGTGGGATTTTAATTTGATCAAGGAAATTAAAATATTGGAGTAATTGTTTTTTTTCTTTAAGCTTGTTTTTTTAATTATTTATTTTTTTTACTCAGTTCTATTTCTGGTGACTCAATTCACAACCTTAAAATTGGAGGCAAAACATTTTGAGTCACCCCTCTTGTCAGGATTCTGTGCAGTAGAAGTAGTTAGAGACGACAATTGAGGCATAATGGGTCAAACTTTTTTTTTTTACAAAAGTTAAACTAGCAGGGCGAGTTGGGTAACTATTCATAGAAGAAGAAGGGGACTCAAACAAGAAAACTTGGGTTAATGATAAAAGAGTACTTACCACTCCATAACTTTCTATGGTGAGAACTATACTATTTATTTAAACAAGAAAGGTCGATTTAAAGATAAAATTAAAAAGAATAAAAGGAGGATAAGAGAAATTTTTTGTCTTCCAAGGATATCTATGTTAACCAAATTAGTTACACCGTATTTTGTGTATAATGCTTAACATGTCTAAGGGTGTCTATTCCATTGGATAAAAAGTGTCGTAAACAATATTAGCATCATCTTTTGTCAAAAGAATTAAAGAATAATGAATAAAATCGTATAGACATGATAGAGGGTCTTTTTTTAAAAATAAATAAATTCTTAAAAGTAGGAAGCATGGCCACTTACGTATATTACCTTTTTAGGAATTTAAAAGGTTTAAAACTCTAATTTTCTTTTGTGAGCTTTAATTTCTTTTGCCATAAAAGAAAAGGAAGTCGTCATTGATCGCATACATACTTTTTATCTACTACAATTATTTTAAAAGGCAAAAAATTGCGTCATTCTTATCCCATAAGATAGCAAGTAGTGTACCATTTAATTTCCATCTTTCACAAAGTATAAGCCATATTCACGTACGTAATTGGATTATCCAAACACTACTAAAAAAAAAAGAATTCTCCTTTCAAAACTTTTGTAATATTCAATTTAACTAATAAAGTTCAATAAACTCAAAACATTTGTCTACTTATGTAGTAGTTCTTTAACAATAGTATTAGTTCTTTAAAAGTCCTTGTGCTTGTGACTTCGTACTTAGGGAAACTCAAACTTGAGACTTCTGATTAAGAATGAAAGAATATTTATCACTTCACCACGATCCGTTGTTGATGTGTGCATACCTGTTACCATATAATAACCAATCATATCATATACCATATGTATCACTTTATGCTTAGAAGGAAAAAAGGAACACTTGCGATGGGAAGTATGATGAAGAGAAGAAGTAGTCCAAAAGAAAAGAAGCTAAAAGGGAATGGACCAACCAGAAAAAAGGATAAAGTCTGTGATAAAATGAAATTGCTGGAAAATAATGGAGCTTACAAAGCAAGTTCTTAGTGTCATAATTCTATGTAAATGTTTGTCTCACTACGTAATTATTACTTAGTGCACGCAATTAATCATCATATATATAGGGCCACCCAACATGTTGTCGTAATAACATGATTAATTAATTACTCGTATAGAATCCAATGAAAATCACATATTAGGTATAAAATGTGATTAAAAAGAAAAGACATAATATTTTCATCAGGAAAATAATATTTTGATTCATTAATTGATAATATATAGGGGTATTTTTAGATCAAACAACTTAAACTAGAGCAGTGTCATCAAATTGACACACATGATCACTGGTGGCTTGTCATATATGATTCATCGGAGCAGAGCCGAATTCATGATTTGATGTTTATGGATTTTTAGTAATTTTAAATTAAAAAATTAAAAGAGACAATGTAAAGTCATTTGAAGTTTGAACCCCTGACCAAGAGTAGTGAAACTTAAACGGCTCTCCTTTGGTCTATCTATGAAATATGTGAATTTTGATTATTTTTTTTAAAAAACTAAGCTTTTTAATATAAGATGCGAACAAAAATTACTGATTCCTTGGACCCCATCAAATCCGCCCCTGCATATATCGTTGAAGATAGGAAAGCTTGTGTTTGGAAATTTTTCCCTTACTGAAAATTGATTAAAAACAGATTCCATTGATCAGTATTACCATATTGTGTTTGAGATCAGTTTTTCCCTTACTTAAATGGTGCTCGTGTCCATGAAAAGTTTTTACTCTCAATTGTAACTCTAATCCATCCTAATGTTTTTGAACTTTAATATGCAAGAGCTGTGAGTGGGAAAAGTATTTTTTTTATAGAACATAATCATGTACGTACATAAGTGATAGCACTGAATTAGCCATGATTTCAATCCTGCTGTATGTCAACTACTACTCTTTGTACACACTTGTCAATCACATCATGAAAAACCCAGAGCAATATGCCAATATATATGCTTTAGATTTAAGGACCTTCATATGAAGCTCCGTTTCGTTATTTATTGCACATGCATTGCTAGAAACAATCATACATAGCACAACAATATGTCATGTATCATATATAATATGACGCAATGATATTCACGTATAAAGAAGTAAACATCATTAGGTATATTACAGTTACGTAAACTCTGAAGATTAACTATATTTGAAATAGTATTTTGTAAATTTACTAAATCATCATATAACAATTCATGGAATATAAGCCAAACTAAGCAATGAGGTGGGCCAGGGAAACATTGGGGTTAAGAATTGGGTAGGAACCGCGCAAACGCAGGCTCTTTCACAAATTATGACGTAGACTCTGCCACTTGGGCAGATCTTAGCAAGCACCCCTCCAAAGTGCAATGAAGGTCGTCAACCTAGGTCATGAGCCTTATCGATCACCCATAAACCCAGTCCAGGTGTCACACCCCAAATCCGGATGTGATGACACGTGTCCATTTCCCACCGGACACATCAGCCTAACCCAACCACAACCATAGAAAAGTAGAAATACGAGAATAAAAGATAATAAATAAGCGGAAGACTTTAATTAAGACTCAACACTACCCAGAATTTGGTTGTCACATGTACAAACCTCTAAATACAGAATTCGAATAAAAATATACAAGTCTCAGAGTATAGTTCTCGAATAGAACAAAACTGAAAGTAAAGATAACTCAAGGGCACGTCTGGAATGAACCGCTACCTCTCGAGTATGTCCCGAAGCTCAATCTGCTAAAGAAAATACTAAGCCGAATCTGAGAGAGAGCTGTCAACCTACACAATTGTGTAGAAGCAAGAGTGAGTACCGAAAACCACAGGTACTCGCAAGTAACTCTAAACTAAGCAAAGCTAGCAGTTACAAACAACTCCTTTCAATCCCAACCGAACCACCGAAACTTCAATCTAGCAGTAAACCAACCAACCTATACTAAACAGATCATATTCAACAGCCAGAACCAACACCATATCCTCATCAACCTCAGATCAACAAATAAGAGCAAGTAGATCAAATTCCACATAAGAAGGGTAAACCGATACAATCCACACATCACAGACAAAGATAAGGCAAATGCGATGCAAAATGCAATAATGATGTCATGTAGTCGTGATGCATGTCTGTCCTACGATACACATCTGTTGACGTAATCAGTCCGCGCTGAATACTCAAATCAGAACCCATGGGGGCCACACATGGACCATGTATCACCGCCGGAACCAGATCCCATCGGCATCCAAATCGCTAGCCGGAGCTAGTCCATCTCATATATCTCTAGCCGGAGCTAGTCTCAACTGTGTCTCATATCCATCCATCCTCATATCAGTGTCTCAGAACTCATGCAACAGATAGTTCACACATGGGATGAATAATGAATATGCACATGTCATCACTCACAATCATATCACGATCACATCATAGTATTACACATTATCTGTCTCAATCACAACCATATCACGACCACATTATAGTATTACACATCACTTGTCTCAATCACAACCATATCACGGCCACATCATAGTATTACACATCACCTGTCTCAATCACAACCATATCACGACCACATCATAGTATTACACATCATCTGTCTCAACATTAATGTATGTATCAATCATAGCCTACTCATGCTCTTTTATCCCCTCAATATCAGTTATCACATGACTTATTCAACAAATTCAAGTCACATATAACACATTTAGCTCGTTTTATTCCCCATATTTCATTTACAACAATTTCAATCAACAAATAAAACCCATCATCAATCCCCATTACTCCCCAACACAATTAGGAAAGTAGTCATGCGTAGTCTAAGAGTTTTACAAAGTTTGGAAGCCACTTGCCTTAAAACGAACTCCAAAAGTTACTTGACTTGAGCCTTTCCTTTTTTAGTATAATCCGGATCACGATAATCTATTCAAACAATTATTCACAGTCACAATTCGAGTCCAATGACACCAAAATCAAGAAATTTAGGGAAAAAGGGCAAAATGGTCCAAAAGTCTCATACCGGAAAATGATACCCAAATCTGGAATTTTTTGATGTAAAATGATCCTTAAAGTATTTGGAAGCTAATGGTGAAAACCAATTTGAAAACGGAGTTGAAATCAATTCACAAACTCAATTTGAAAGAAAATTCACGTTCTTGAAGAAGCCTAAAATATTCGAATCCGAAACCCCGACTCGAAAATGAAATATCTCTTGAAAAACATCTTACCCATGCTTAGATAAGTTCAAATATGAAATTTCATCAAAAACGGAGTTAAGATCGACCTTGAAATTCTCAATTTATCAAACTTTAACTTTACCGGGAAAGTCCAAATTGTACGCGGTTAATATGATGAAAATAATCGATGAATCAATAATTTTATGTTAAAGTCAGTTTACCCATAACATAAGGATCGTAAATATACCTTTTTCATCAAAAAGGGAGTCCAAATCGATAAAACCCCAATTTTTCCCAAGAGATTTACGGATAGGAAAAAAAAACCAGATAAAGAAATTATGAGAAAATGTCGAATTGAAGATTGAATACTAACCCTCATATTAATTCAAGAAGAAAACCATAAGAATCACTCCATTCCGATCTCTAGAACTCCCGATATGCTCAAAATATCAAATGAACACAGTCTGAGATTTTTATAACAGTACATGGCTGTTATGCACCAGAAAAACAGCAGTTAATCTTTCACTAAAACGGCCGTAATTTCCTCATACGATAGTGAAATGACCCGATTCTTTTTTGTAAATGTCTTAAATAATGATACGGACCTGCTCGTTCAATCGGATCTCAATTTCATGCTCGTTTGCCCAGTCAAATATCATTTCTACTCGGTAAACAATTATTTCTTATTTGCGATAAAAGTCCAATCTCGGGTTAGCGAAAATGCACCAAAATTTGCAGATAAGTCCTATAATTCATGCTCAAAATTTCAGAACCTTCGGAATAATTTTTTGACCTATAAAACTAATAATGAACCCTTTAGTTGCCACAATTTGCTGAAATAGTGTCAAAGCATCCAAGAAGCTTAAAAGCTCACCCAAAACTCATTTGGCACTTCCCGAACACAAACCAAATATGCTACTAGCTTGAAAATGACATTTCGGACTCAATGAAATCGTCGGAATTTGAATTCGAGGTCTCCTTGACCCGGTATCCGATAAGGCGTCAAGAAACTAACTTTAGGCACAAAAACTCGAAACGCACTCGGGGCCTCTAAAAATTCAACCAAGACTCATTCTAGACTTAGAATCACCCCCTGAATCCAACGGTGCCCTCAGAATTCCATTTCGAGCACCGAAACCTCATTTGTTGACCAAAGTCAACTCTTGATCAAAATTTCACAATTTTAGCAACTTAAGACCTCAAATCTTCGTTTTAACTCCAAATTTGACTCCGTAATTTTTCATAGACCCGTTTCAACATTCTAAAACTGCTGGAATCGACGGAAATCCGATTCGAGTCTCGAAACTCCAAATGACTCGAAATAGCACTTTTAACTAAACTTTAACTCTTAAAAACTCAACTTTCCAAAAACTCAACTTTTCATCAATTTTCCTTCAAACCAACTTCAAAAATACAACAATTAGGACTCGGGGCAACTATCGGGAGGGGTAAAACGGTCATTTTATGAAAATTTCCAAAAATGACCTTTAGGGTCATTACACCAGGTAAGTATAGATCAATGTAGCATCACCCTCTTTTTTTATATGACTTCGGCTGCTCCTTAGTTTTGCTACCAGTGATGTGGTATTAGTTATACAACAAGGCACCTAACGAATGCAAGCAAATAGTGTGTTACGAAAAAAGGAAAATTATTTGCTATCTAACCTTAAAGAGTAAAATCCAAGATAAATTGGTTGTGTCCTCCGCATAAGATAATAATATAGAGAAAGGTGATCTTTTATTTTCCTTTCTAGGAGTTTACTGAAATAAAAGAAGCGTTTCTTTTTAGTTAGTGTAGACGTTTTCTAAGTTTGAGTTAGTTTTCAATATCGTTTGTTTCATTTGATTTTTTATTATTAAAGATTATCCATCAATGACACAAGATATATATATCACATGTTTAATGAATTGATGTAAATGTGGTGTGTGTCTACCTTTAAAAGAATATGATTAAATTTATAAACGTGACTTAAAGGCACTCGAATCGAGATGATCAAAATACGAGGTTTGTATATTATTATAGTTTGTTTAGTTAAAGCGGACAAGATAAAATTAAATAAGTACATAATTGAAATGAAATAGCAAGATAAATAAATGAAATGAGCTTAAGTATACATTTTAAAACTTTGATAAAAATTCATATTGTTTGAGTCCACACAAAGGAATTTTAATAAATATTTTGAACCAAAGAGAGTATTACAACATTGTTTTCAAATATTTCCATAAATAGTTAGTACAGTACTTGTTATCCATAAATCAAATTTAGTCAAATGTTGATACGAGTATAAAGAAAAACAATGGGCAAAAAACTGGCGAGGTAAAATCGGACAAGAGATATTACGTCAATGAGTCGTACGTGTCCCCATCCCAATCGCCAAGTGGTGTGACTTCGGGGCAAACAACAATTGTTTTTGGGCTTTTGGAGTTTCGGCCCTTTTATTCTTTTCACTTTTTTCAATCTTTATCGCTCCACTCTCATCAACATCATAGATCACTACTCAAATCTTTCTCACAGATCTCTGCTTTTTTTTCGCTATTTTCTCTACTCTGGTAATAGCTCTCTCTTGCGCACCATTTCTTCGCTTCTAGTTTTCTCTGTGTTTTTTTTTGGGTTTTTCAATTCATATACAGCTCTCGATTTTCTATGTCGATTTATGGATTAGGAGAAATGTTAGGGTTTGAATTTGGTTCTAATTTGTTTAGAATGTTTTTTCCTATTTTTTTTTGCTTCGGCGATATGTTCTAGGTACTTGTTTTCTTGAGTGTGGAAGACTGGTAAATTTGTGTGTTTTTTTTAGTTTATGGATGTGTTTCATTGTTTTAATTTAGTTGGAGCAAATGATTTGAAGCCTTTTCTTTTCACCTGTTGTAATTTAGATATCATTGAAGTATCAAACTGGCATATATATTTTTTTTTTATAAATAAAGGTTCAACCTTTAATAAAATGGATCGAATAAGGATTGGAAATGTGTTAAAAGCAGTCAAGTGCTCACTGGAAACAATTCAAATGTTTCACTCACACTGCTTTGGATTCCCTGTCGAAGTAACAAATGATGTGCATTGAAAAACCCACCTAAAGCCTGGAGTTGTATTGCTAGTGCGAAATTTACGTCTTCTTTGAGGCTGAACTGAGACCTTGTGATTTTAATTATTGCCTTAGATAGGGTCATAGGGATAGCATCTTCATGGAGTTTCTTCCCGTTGGAGCCAAAGAGTAATGCACACAATTAGTGGTGGATACTCTTGATTTAATGACTTGAT